TCCCTTCAGAGCCTTTGGATCTTCGGGGGAGCCCAGGAAGACGATGGAGGCAGAAGATCCAGCAGGAAAGGGACTTTGTGAGGCTCCGGTTGAGAGCCGGGAGGAAGCGGGTCAGAGGACCAGGCGGAAGATCCTGGAAGAGGAAACCCTTCCATGGGATGTCCAGCACCAAGACATCCGGGAGTTCCTCTGCAAGGAGCCTGAGGGACCCCGAGAAGTTTGCAGCCACCTCCACCACCTTTGCCTTCAATGGCTGAAGCCAGAACGGAACACCAAGGCGCAGATGCTGGACCTGGTGGTCCTGGAGCACTTCCTGGCCGTCCTGCCCTCTGAGATGGCCGACTGGGTGCGGGAGTGTGGCGCAGACACCACTTCCCAGGCGGTGGCCCTGGCAGAAGGCTTCCTCCTGAGCCAAGCTGAGGACAAAGTAAGACTGGTGAGAGAAACATTATTCTTGACTTCTCTAAATGCATCCCTACAAGGATATTTCTGAACTCCTAAGTCAAAAAATTTAGGTATGGTTTTGAGACATTTTTCTAACAAGGTGGAAAGTTCCTCCATCCCCACTTAGAGATATAACAATGGGCTGTTGTTCTTCCCCCTAATTCTCCTTCTTTCTTCTTCTCTGGTCTTCACATGCAGAGAAGATCCATTGAGATAGATGCACAAGGTCTGAAAGCAAGGGGAGATCTATTCGATCCCCCTCAGAGGATACTTTTAAGGGGGATCTCCAAGGAGGAACAAGCTCAGGATGTCTCACCAGGTAAGGGCATATCCTTTCCTTTTTTTCCTTGATATTTCCAGCTTTCTGGCTTGGTTTGTCATCTTCAGGAATTGGTTTTGCAGGATTATCTTCAGTCTGGACAAGGATTTATATATTCCCCCCCCCCGCCCCAAAATTATTAGTATGGGTAGTCCTCTAGTCACTCTATTAGTGACTCCAATTGGGACTGGCAACTTGATCGTTAAGCAAAGCGGTTGCTAAGTGAAACTGTGATTGTGCTTATGATCTTATTTCAGCCTTTCTTTGCTTTACAGACCTGCAAAGGTTGTAAATTCAAGGATTGGTCGCAAAGTTACTTTTTCATCACCATCGTAACTGAATGATCGCTGAATGAGGCGGGTGCTGAATGAGGATTACCTGTAATATATTTTAAAAGTCTCTTCATTTGTTCCTCTCACAGGGGATGGTACGACATCAGTGGTACTTCTAGAAATTTCTCCTTTTCCAACTCTGCCTTCAACTCAGGTAAGGGAAGGGTCATCAAGTAATACCTACTGAAACCATGTCAAGACTTCCAGTTTATTAGAGAGCTCAGAACATCATCATCATCATAACCCCATTGCTGGGATAGAACCTGGACCTACGTGTGGGGTGTGAAATGGTCAGGCGTCCTCCAAAATGAGGGAGAATGTTTTCTTCCTTTTCAGGTAGACCGTGAGCCTCAATGGAGAAAAAGTAACCAAGATACAACTTTCCTGGTATCCCTGTGAAAAACTTCTTCCAGGAAAACTCAGCCCCGCAAATATGTATTTTTAATGCCGATAATGTATTTGTATCCTGAATGTGCGTCAATAGATGGACCTCTGAGTTGGTAGATTGTCAGGAACACAATGTTGGCTTGCAGGATAGTGTGCAAATGAGCAATTCTAATTTTCCAAGAATAGTAGGAGCATGCTTGGAATCAAACTGGGTTTAGGTTGCACTTGGGATGTAGTGGCTCAACTGCAGGCCAACAGACCAGGAGTGACCCTTCTGTTAGCAGGGAATGCTGCCTGTAGCACACTAAAGCTGGTAGCCCAGTCTATGCCTTTTCCACCATGCTGAAAAGCCTTACAGCAAAGCCCCACTTGACCAAGGCCACAATGGGCTTCAATCTCTATGGGAACAGTGGGGCCCTTTCTGCCTCTTTGGATAATGTTGCTTAACCCAGAGGGGAACGGTGGGTGGATATGTACCGATATTTATTCTGGGGTCTTGTGAATTAAGAGAGAGGTCTTCTAAAGCTTGCCTGAGCTTATTGTTTCAGCAGGAACGTTTTCATCCTCCCTCAGGGTGCCGTGTCCTTCCAGGAGGTGGCGGTGTGTTTCACAGAGGAGGAGTGGGCTCTGCTGGATTCCACCCAGAAGGCCCTCCATGGGGAAGTCATGCGGGAGAATTCTAGAAACGTGGCTTCTCTGGGTAAGGGCCCCTCTTTGCTCCTGAGTTCAGATGGTTGGGGGAAGGCCTTTGTAAGCAAACAGAGGGTGTTTCTTCTACCTCCTGGCTGGAAAAAATGGGAAAATGCTTTCTTCTGGAGCTCATAGGAATGTGAGATAGGAACAGGTCCCTGCTGTGATTTATGGTGGGATCCTTTTATGTTCTGGACTTGAGGGCCTGAATTTCTAGGTTCTGTTAATCTCCCTGTGAATTTATTTATTATTTTATTTATTCAAAAGATTTATATGGCCGCCCATCTTAAGCAACTCTGGGCGCTCACAGTTGACTAGCCACTTGGCTGAAAAGAGGGAGGGCCACCTCTAATCACAGACAGAGGCTTCCAGAGGCTTTCAAGATGATGATAGTAGTGCCCTGTCATTGTGAGGCAACTTCCACCCCCCTTTTCTACATGTGTCATAGTGTCACATACACACCAGGAGAAGCAGAGCTTATGACACAACACTGGTTAAACAAGATAAGGATGTTACTGTTCTCCAAGCTGTCAGTGGCCACCTGAATTCCCCTTCTGCAGCCCCTAAAGCTCTCTGATCCATGTTAAGTTGCTCTCTTCAGGCAGTATGGAAATTATGATGGTGATAATGATGATGATCATTCAGAGAAGAGTAAGATTCATTTCATACAGGAAATAGCAGCAAGAAGAGAATTGGAACATCAGCTCTTACGTTAGTTCTATTTAAGCAGTGAAGTCCAAGTCAGGTTTACTCTGCAAGGCTCTGTGGATCCACTCAGATTGTATCTTAAAGGCTTAAGAACATTTATGGTCCTTCTCATTCTCTTTCACAGGAGAAGAGCACGACACAGAGAATTATCAGGTGCCAGATATGGCAGCATCACAAGCCATCCAATGGGAAGTGGGAAAAGAGAGATTTGGACATGACTGGAGGTTAGAAACCTATGTGGAAGATCTTGATGCAGGAAACAGAAGAGGAAAAATATGTAAAGATAAGTCAGACCTAGATAATCAGTGTGGAACTGAGATTAGAGTTAGCCAATATGAATGGAGAATGCCTGAAACATTTTTCAGCCCAAACATCCCCCTTGCTTTATGTCAACAAATGCGCACTGGGGAGAAACCATATAAATGCATGCAGTGTGGAAAAAGCTTCAAGCACAGCAGTGCTCTTATTTACCACTCAAGGATCCACACGGGAGAGAAGCCGTATAAATGCCTGGAGTGTGGAAAGAGCTTCAGATGGAGCAGTGATCTTACTTCCCATAAAACTATCCATACCGGGGAGAAGCCATATAAATGCTTGGAGTGTGGAAAAAGTTTCAGGCAGAGCAGTCACCTGAATTCCCATCAAAGGGTCCACACAGGGGAGAAACCATATCAGTGCTCCGAGTGTGGAAAGAGATTTGGACAGAGCAGTAATCTTACTAACCATAAAAGACTTCACACAGGAGAAAAACCATATCAGTGTATGGAGTGTGGAAGGAGCTTCAGTCAGATTTGTTCACTTACTTTGCATAAAAGGATCCACACAGGGGAGAAACCATATAAATGCATTGAGTGTGGAAAGAGCTTCAAAAACAACGGCAAGCTTATTTCCCACAGAAGGATCCATTCAGGGGAAAAACCATTTAAATGCATGGATTGTGGAAGAAGCTTCAGTCAGAACTTTTCCCTTACTTTGCATAAAAGGATCCACACGGGAGAGAAACCATATACATGTATGGAGTGTGGAAAGAGTTTCAAGCGGAGTAGTGAACTTACTTCCCATAATAGGATCCACACCGGAGAGAAATCTTACAAGTGCATGGAGTGTGGAAAGTGTTTCAGGTGGAGGAGTCAACATACTTCCCATCATAGGACCCACTGTGGGGAAAGCACCTATGTAGTGAATGGGCAGGGAAGTGCCTCCCCACATTCCCTGACTTTTCAGCCCCTCCGGTCAGGTGGTGAGTTGCCAGCTTGGACTGTCACTCCAGTATCTTCTTGAGAGAAAGAGCTTGCCTGGTGCTCAGACAAAGGAGGTTGCCCCCAGCCCTGTTCCTTCGAGAGAAAGTCAGTTTGCCTTGGGGAAAAATAAACTTTGGGACAAGGGGGAGGAGTTTCTGGGAACTGAGGCTGGGAAGAACAGCCTCCGGATTATCTGACTGGAGTCCTCCAGGATCATCAGGAGACAGAATCCAGGAATATTTGAGCCAGAGGAAAATCTGTTTCAAACAACAGTTATCTCAGGAACGTGAAATAAAGACCTCTAACGTGCCAGCCATCCTAATATTTTCATTTCTGTGTACCATTAAGATCTTTATTTTCTCTGGTGTTTATTGCATCTCTGCAAGCTCAGTTTACTGTACTGTATATACAATTGGGACCTCTGCACTAGAGATCCAGCACACCTTGTCATCCATCCCAACTTTAGATTCTCTTTTATTTCTTCAATGGGAGATTCCTTTGAGGTGTTGCTTGTAATTTTAGCAGCACTGTAATTTTTAAACCCAGCATTCATTGTTTTACACATGGTTACCTAAAGGTAAAAATGAATTTTTACATTCAGTTTTTGTTAATAAAGTGGATTTTACATTTTGCCTTGTAATATTAATATAATATAATATTAATATAATACAGTGGTACCTCGGTTCACGAACTTAATTCGTTCCACGATTCTGGTCGCGAACTGAATTGGTCACCAACCAAATCAAATTTTCCCATAAGGTTCCATGTAAATAAGGTTAATCCATTCTGAACCATACGTATTTTTTTTAACCACAAAAATATGAAAAAGTACAGTACAGTACAGTATGAAGAGAGAGAACACTAACCTTGCTCGAGGCGACACCAAAAAGCTTCACAGCAAGTATTGTCGAAGGCTTTCACAGCCCGGAAGACCCACACCAGCCTTCACAGCAAGTGTCTGCGACCGCAATCTCACCTAGAGGAAGCCACAGCCACGTGTCAGAGCAGGGAAGATGGCTGCGGGTCATGTTCGTCACCCAATGCAGAGTTCGCGAACGGAAGCAAAATTTTGTGAACGCTGTTGTTTGCGAACCGAATTGTTTGTGAACAGAAGTGTTCATGAACTGAGGTATTACTGTATAATGTAATATAATTCCCAAAGGATGAAGCTGATTTCCTTAGGTCAGTGTTTCTCAACCTTGGCAGCTTGAAGATGTTTGGACTTGAACTCCCAGAATTTCCAGAAAAGAAAAAATTCCCAGAAAAAAAAGAAAAAGCAAGGCTGGCTGGCTGGCTGGGGAATTCTGGGAGTTGAAGTCCAAACATCTTCAAGTTCCCACAGTTGAGAAGCACTGCCTTAGGCCATGCCTAGTATCTACAAGGTTCAAGAAGTGCTGCTAGAACATTTATTTCATTTTGCCAGTTAGGGTGTAGGGTTCCTTTTGTTCCAAATAGTGGGGTTGGTGGGAGCACATCTGGTAAAGGCATCTCCAGAGGATAGGTGGCCACAGCAACTATCAAGAAGCTAAAAAAGGTGGAGGGGAGGCAGCCCAGGCTGTGTAACCTCAGGAGGCTTCTGGAAGAGGAAGTCTGAGGCCTTCACCCTCTCACTGTAGGGGCTCAGCCATGCCATTATATATATATATACTACTAAAACTCTCATGTCTGTAACCTGCTGGGTGAAACAGTGCATCATAGGGCAACAATTTCTGAACCAAGGTACTTCAAATGGGCTAACTTACAGTATGTGTCCAAAATCTGGGACCCATTACTCCTGTGGGATTGAAATTTAGGAAATTTGTAGCTGCTGGTGCTGCTGCTGCTGTCAGCCCAGGTCACATGATCATCATGGGCATATCCCCAACCTCTTTCCCACCTCCCTCTGGCCCCTGCGCCCAATCAGCTGGCAGCAAGGCCCAACAGGCAAGCAGTGATTGGCTGTTTTGGAACCAAGGATGAAATTTGAAATCTCTTAACAGCAGTGGGCATTGAGGGAAGGACAAGGGAGTGACTCGGATGCCTGCTGGTGAGGTAGGGCTGGCATCCCAGGTAGGGCTGACCCAGGAGTGCCAGCGGTCGTTGGTTGAGCCCTTTTCCTTGAGGGAGGGGGTCCTGGGGACACGCCAGAATGAGGAGCAGGAGTGCATTTTTCCTTGTGGTCTGGGGCTCCCTTTGTTCCACCTCTCCCCAGGAAAGTGGGAGCCAGTTCCACCGGTCATCCAAGGAGGAGGAGGAGGCGGCTTCACTGGGGCTCTCCTGAGGATTGTGAGGGGAGGGCAAATGGCACAAGCTTATAGGGAGGGAGGGAGGGAGGGAGGATTTCTGACTCTCCCTGCCAACTTCCCACAAGCAAAGTCAATGGGGAAGCCGGCCGCCCGTCGTAAGTCTCTCACACCCCCTCTGCTTTTTTTGCCCCTGGTCATTCCTATTCTCTGTTTTGGCAGGGA